GAGTCTTGCTACTGTGTGCTTGTAGCGAATCGTTGGGGGGCTATTTTACTAACACTGCACGGTAACTGACCAAGCGCACTAGCTCAACATTGGAATATTGTGAAAGAGAGAGACGTGAGATTGCACTGAATGGGAAAGTTGCCAGTTGTCCAGAAGGAGATTCGGACTGCGAATTAACAGTTGATCCGGGTATTCCAAGCGCAAATTGGTGACCCGTCAATAATTTTATCAAACTCATATTCTGCTGCAAAAGTGGGACTTGAGGGAAACAGAGTTTAAAAAACGATAGTCTCTTTGAATTTTATCAAATCGAAAGTCGGGACCCTCCATGGCTTACTGTGTGTGAGAAATTAGCGCACTTGGATGATACCGAAGGAGTAGCTCATGCCAGCGGTAATCGCCTCTTGGCAAATTTCTCGACATCTTTCACTTCCGTGGATGCTCAGAAGTAAGTTGGTACCGATTTTGGCCCGTGGTTTTATGCCAACACCGATTTACCATCGAACTCAATGGAAGGATTTGCATTTGTTGTTGTTTATCACTACTTTTTTTTCTGCACTAATTTTTTCACGTTGCAGTGAAATTGAACGCAGTTGTGGCGGAACATTTCATTCTCACTGCGCAGTTTGCCCTCAAATATATCGAAAAAGGAATTCTTCGTGAGAGTGAAAACGAGACGCTTAGATTACTGCAGCAAATGTTCAAAGCCGCAAGCATGCAGAGGTATCTGCTTAACTTTTCTTAACTTACCTGATAGAAGGTCAGCTTACTTGACAGAAAATACATTTTTACGATTGCTCATTGTGAGCAACAATCCCTGAACGAGTGCACCAGGTGAGTGATGCCAACCTTCTACCTCTGCAAAATTTCTAATGTGGGTTTTTCTGAAACCGAGGATCTATATCTGTGGTCATTGGTCGGAAAACTGCTCGTTTTTTAACAAGCAGTGCCCTGACCAATAATCACAAGTACAAATTCTCGATTTGGAGATGTCCCGGAATCTCAGCTTTTTTTTAGCTTTCGTTTTTTAGCCTAGCTTTTTAACTTGTAATAGAAAATCTATTTTTGCAAAGACACATTTTCCCTAAGCGAGAAAAAGACTCAATAAATGCTAAATTGTCTGAAGGGACCTTCCAAAAAAGCCATGCTCCACGAGTTCTTCAAATTTCTATGAAAAACAAAAATGTCGGCTACAAATAATACAAAAGTGGAGTACAAGCTTCTTTGCAAAGAACTTAGAGGGTTAGGAGAAATTACAATCTTCCAAAAGAAATGTTACACAGGAAAATTAATATTGAATTAGTCTGATAAGAGGTGCAACTGCG